TTTTGGAGCGCCAATCTCCATTAAATTGAAGGTGGTCGACCCAGCCATTTATAGGCTTTCTGTACAGGGGTGATGTCGAGTTTTGATCCAAAATGCCTTCTGCAATGGGGAAGTGTGAGCTGAAGTCTGAAATTGTTTGATCAAAATTTCGCATTGGCGCAAGCAGCAGGCAGGGGTTCAGTGCACCTGTTCTAACGGCCCGGGCTTTCCAGGTTGGACACCCGCTTCTCACCATCCATGGGTCCCAACGCCTGGCCCACAGCTCCAGCTGGTGGTGAGCTAGGAAAAGCCAGTTTGATTGCAGAAAACGCTTTAAATGTTGCGACTCTACTTTTCTCTCTCGATCGTTTCGGTGATGCCACAGCCCTGCCAGATGGCAAGGATAAGTTCGGTACCATACCGTATAGTCAGCCAACATTGGGACAAGTATGGTTCGGTCGTCACAAAGTTCAAACAAAGACTGAGGGCACGCACGAAGCTTAAGCCGCTCCCCCCTGCAAGGTTTCACTTGCAGCAACAAAAACCCTATATGCCATTCACGATCACAATGATCAGAATGTCACAAACCCAAGTCAGCTCTCAGAAGCGTAGGTGGCATAAGCCTGAGCTTAAAGGCTTAAAGAACTTGACAGAAGTGGGTCCAAGAAAGGGATCTACCATACCAAGACCGATTGTTTCAGCATCAAAAATACTTGCACCTCAAATATATGATTTTCTGGTGTGCTTATTTTTTCCGGTGAAGCCAGGAATGTATTTTGATACTATACCATAAGTGTTTGGTTTTAAAGCAACATCTTCAACAGCCCCCCAGTATTTGTGCAAGTAGCAAGGCGAGCATCTACCCTGGCTTCATCCTTGGACTTTCCAGCAGCTACTGCCAAGTTGTAGGCCTTTTTGTAGGCGCAGCACTGTTTGGACCTCCTCTGCCTCTTCTCCAGGGTTCCTGGACTCAGCTCTCTCTTCTTCTTCTTGTTCTGCTCTTGCTCATCTCCAGTGCCTTCATTTTCTCCCTTCTTGTCTGGTGATTTCTCTGACTCCTGCTGCTGCTGAGGCTTGCTGGCCTCAACCTCACTGCCTTTCTTTGCCTTCCTCTGGTTTTTGCTCTTGACCTCTGCCTCACCTTTCTTGTTCTTCTTGTCTTTGTTGTCTTCGGTATTTGCCTTCCTCTTTCGCGGGTTCTCCACAGCCTTGGAGGTTCTGGGTTTTCGTGCCGGTTTCTCCCCACCCTCACCTTCCTTCTCCTTTTCATTCTCCTTGCTCTTCTTTGTCTTGCTGCGACCTCTGCTGCTGCTGCTCTTAGCCTTCGCCTTCGCCTTTGCCTTCGGACGCCCCTTGGGGGCCGGCTTTTTGTCACCAGGTTCACTTGATTCATCTTCATTGCCCTCGTTCTCCTCAGCATCCTCCTCAGCATCCTTATCGTCCTCCTTGTCATCCTCCTGTTCTTCCTCATCACTCCTTTTTTTCTTTTGGGGTTTCTGCGCCTTTGGCTGCTCATGGGGTGCAATCGACTTGTGTTGCTGCAAAGCTTTGGGCTTCTCAACCTTCAAAGCACTCAGTCTCTTATTCTCCACCTTTGCCTTCTTCTCCAAACCTGATTCACCTTTGTGCTGGGTCTCTTCTGCCTTCTTCTGGGGTGGGTCCTCCACTGTCGGCTCTTCAACCAACAGCGTCTCATCCTTTTTGGTGGAACCTTCTTCCTCCTTTCTCCTGGGATCCTCTGCCTTTGCCTCCTTCTTCAAACCTGACTCTTCCTGATCTTTGGCCTGTTCTGCCTCCTTCTCCTTTGGCTCTTCGACCAACGGGGTCTCATCCTTTTTGGTGACACCTTCTTCCTCCTTTCTTCCTGGATCCTTTGCCTTTGCCTTCTCCAAACCTGATTCTTCTTTGTCCTGGGTCTTTTCTGCCTTCGAAGCTTCACCTTCTTTCGTGGTACCTTCTTGGTCCTTTCTCCTTGGATCCTCTTCCTCCACCTTCTTCTCCAAACCTGATTCACCTTTGTCCTGGGTCTCTTCTGCCTTCTTCTGGGGTGGCTCCTCCAGCGTCGGCTCTTCAGCCAACGGGGTCTCATCCTTTTTGGTGGAACCTTCTTCCTCCTTTCTCCCTGGATCCTCTGCCTCTGCCTCCTTCTTCAAACCTGACTCTTCCTTATCTTTGGCTTGTTCTACCTCCTTCTCTTTATCTTCTGGCACTTCTTCTCCTAGTCTCAAAGTCTTTTGTCTCAACATCTCTTCTGTGCTCCCAGAGACTGGTGGGTGCCCACCTGAAACCGTCATGTGTTCTTGGTGAGCTTGTCTGAGAGAGTCCTGCGGCTGAAAGGGGAAAGGTTGTGAAGACTGAAGATAGAGATAGATACGAGTAAAGTCAGAAGATAAAGTAAAGAAAACAAATTTTGTTTGCTGTTGCAAGATTTTTGCAAACTAAACTTTAAAGGGTTTTGGAACCAATCCTCTGCAACCATGGCCGAATATGTGGCCGCTTCGACTGCGCCAGCATCCATGGGGAGAGTGTCCAACACATCTGGACCTAATCGGTTAAAAAACTTTTGGTGATCCAGGCAGAAATTGGCAAATTGGTAAAAGTTTTACCTGGGTCATGGCAAATAATTCGCAAACCCTAACGTTGACTGAGGCCACGGCAAGCCGTTGGGGGCTGTGGTGGTCTCGACGAGGCAGGAGCTGGTGTCTCCGAGCGCTGCAGCTTGCGAAGTTGCTCCAAGCTAGCTAGTTGTTTCTGAAGGTCTTGGAGCTGCTGCAGTTTTTTCAACTGGTCACGTTTCAAAGCAAGCTCTCGCTCAGACAGCTCTGTTTCACTCATTGTTCCAGACGTATCTTTGCAAGACACTGCTTTCAAAACTTCCAAGTCAGGAGCTGTAACCGAACAAACGATGCACTCGAAACCGACATCAGTCTTCCTGATCATTGGGTGGATGTGTCTCTTCCCGCAAGGCTCCACAGCTGGGCTCGCCACAGGGGTCTTCACCAGGTCGCCTGAAGCCGATGGGCTGTAAAGTTCATTCTAGAATTCTAGAATGCCAATGGTGGCCTGGACGTGGGACTGTCGTATCTCCTCGGGATGATGAAGAACCTCAGGGAAAACAACAAATAACCCCATCCCCTGATGTTAAAAGAAACATCAGTTTAATAAACAAGTTCCACATATTCGGGACCAGTTAGCGAAGGTTTAATGTTATAGGCGGATGGGATTAGATAGTCAAGGGATGATAAGATTTCGAAATTGCCGAAAAGGTGAGAAATGCTGAGGGTGTAGCCTTCTGGGCAAGTAGGTCGGTCCATCGGCGTCTTGGGCGTGGCTGGTACAGGGGCCTACAGACCAACAAGAGTGAAAATTTGAAGTTGATACTGGTTGGACACTTTGTGGTGGCCACTTGGGATCAGGCCTCATCCACACACATATCCTCCTCTAAGACTTCTTCTTCTTCACCTTCGCCCTCACACCCTTCTTGATCTTCTACAGTCTCTGGAGCAGGTGTTGGCTCACCTGATTTGCAAAATATATTCTCTTTGTAAAACATTTCGAAAAAAGAATGTTGATTCTAAAAAGGTTGCATCCTGTCCTGAGCCCCCCACCTTCCGGCAAATCGATCCCCGATCTCACATACAAATCACGCATCGCTGCCTCACGAGGCACGTGTGGCCTTCTGGCCGCTCTCCCGAATTCTGTGATCAAGTTCCTCAATGCCCACGTGTGCATCCTGACCACGTGACCTGGGCAAGAAATGTGGGTATTGGCTTTGTCGATGAGAGAATTAGCATTGAAATACGGGGGGCAATGGGGTATCACGCCCAACAAATCTATAAAAACAATCTCTCATCACCAAAAACGTAAGCCAACTATGCCAGACTAAATCTGGCAGGCTAAGCTGAGGACTTTCAATCGGTGGCTTGTGGCGAGGGCGGTTTGCCCAGAAGAATTCGTCGACATGCTCTTGGATGATGCCGATGGTTGGTCGCAAACCTCCAGCATGCATGAAAGCCCTGGCTGAAAATAAAAAATCTTGTCTTTCAGATAGCCAGGATATTCAAGAATATGATGTTGATTGTGTGCGAACAAGTAACCAACTTCAGCTATCAGTGGGCCCAAGATGACTGCATTGTTCACAACATCCCTCCTTTTGATACAGGTCTTTTCCTTCTCCTGTGTCGAGTAAACCACAAGAAAGCCTTTGGCGGCACCGGCTGCCAAGTAGTCAATCGAACTCCACTCACGGGCAACTGGGGACTTGAAGGAAAACCCCTTGTGGAAAGGTGTATCGCTCTCTCCCATACTAGCTGCCTCACGCTGGCTACGGATCGTTGAGCTACAAAAAGCGCTGCATGAACATTTGCTGAAAATTTTGAGCTGCAAAGTAATGAGCGCTTTCAAGTGTGTTCTGATCAAATTTCTGTGATCAAATCAGCCAGGTTTGCCACCAAGCGTTGATCCAAGACTGAATGTAGTAGCCTCCCAACACTGGGTTGATGGAAAGGGGAGCCACTTTATCCAAGAAATATGCCGATGATATTCAATAAAACAAAGGGTGCCTTGCCTTATAGGACCAAAAACTTCGAGAGACCCATGAGGACAGGCCTGCATTTAAACCAGCCCATGCCAGGTGTATCTACAGCATCTACCAACCTGTGGTTGCCAATGCGTGCACATGAGCACACTCACATCTCAAAAAGAGCTGCCGCCTGCTCATCCCCAGAGCTGGCACGTTGTGGCACTCAGGTGGAGTAGCCAAATGGCCACAGGATGGTTCAACATCATTCAAATTCAAAAAATGGACGAACCCTCAAAAAGAGGACGTTTTGATAGCCATGTGATTTTGTGCTACGAATGGGCTTGGAGCACTTTTTTCTGTAACAATGGAAGCTCCAGGTATATATAATATACTGTAATATATATATATATAGATTTGGTTGGCAATCCCATATTATATCCCCATGAAATGGATCCCATGAAATCACCACCGAACGGTCAGCTTTGCGTTGCGTCCGCAGGTCCTATGACAAGCTGCAGCATTGTGCCGCTCCGCAGGGCTGACCCAGTGATCTCGCTGATGCCGATGGGTTGTTGATCGGGGAAACCTTGGGGCTGGCACTGAAGAAATAGGTTCTGGGAATGTTTACCCTCTGGTAAACTAACATAGCTATATGGAAAATCACTGTTTTTAATTGGTAAATCCACTAGAAATGTCCATTTTCAATAGCTATGTTAGTTTACCAGAGGGTAACATTTATATACATTTATAACTTTATAACCTGCCACACTTGGGAAGAGTTGGGGATATAACATGATGTATAACTTAAAGGAGTCATTGATCATTTGTAGGTCATGATTCATGATTCAATAATGATTATTTATTTATCTCTCTCTATACATATATATACACACTACAGATGAGATCATATATGACCTTGCAGCCAATGTGAACAAATTAGCAATGGTTTACGAAGAAGATATCCAGAAAGCGTGGAGCAATGCAGAGAGCCAAAGGAGCCATCCACTCATCTTGAAAAAATATCTGCTGCAAGCTTGAGAAACCTTGAAATGTATTGACATTTGGTGAAGCTTGGGCAACCTGGGTCAATCTTTGAATTGTGATACCTCCAGGTCTAAGAACCAATCCACAATATTCGCGCCCTTTTCTGCAGGTGAAACCATGCGAAATCACAATTTGTGTGGGCAAAACCCTCAGTTTCATCTAAGTTTGTCTGAAAATTATGGGAAAACCACCATATTTGATGGTTAATCCATCTTAATCATATTCCAAATCAAATATAGGGTGGTCATACCTCATTTTCAGACCCATTTGGGGGGTTAGTCGGTTAGTCTTTCTTGCGACCGAAGGAAGGAGCTGCCGCTGCATCAGTGGAGCAACATCAAGTTGAAGGTCCGTTCAACAGTCTAACAGATAGGTGGTTGGGGGTTGATGGGTCAGGCTTGGGGTTGGCTTGGGGTTTGGATCTAGGTTTAGGCTTTAGGATGCTTTAGGCTAGTTGGTTTCACGGGGTAACTGCCCGAGAGCCGAGCTCGTTTCTCCTAGTTGAGCACCGTTGAGCCTTCTGAATGGTTTCGAGATGTTTCGAGCATTCTCTGTGCATGTGGCGAAAGGCTGAATGATGTTTGAACCCGAGGGTTCTCTATTTCTTTGTACTGGACGGGGTGTGGGGGGAGCATAAATTCTGATTAAAAAAACTGCTGCCGAGATGTTGCAAGGCCAGTGGTGTGGAGCACTCCAAGGGACAAATTGAACACTCCGATGGCGCAGGGGGCTGAGACAAAGTTCGACCGGTTTTCGAACACTGCGTGTGGCTGCACTGAGGATGTCGTATGATGTCTCTTCCTTTTCCTATCTTTCCTGGCCTCGCAGTTCTGCATTCTCCCATCAAACACATCAAACACACATGAAACAGCATCAACCAGCATCAGAAATACCTCAATTCTTACCCAAATCCTGATTGAAGTGATGGTTTCCAGAAGTTTTATGAATTTTGCTTCTCATCAGGGGAACGTTTCCCTTATTCCCATGTTGGACCTGGGGTTCGCCGGCTAGAAAAGAACCTTGGTCCCCGCTGCAGGGCATGATCATGTTCATTAACGAAGAGAAGGTGTGTGAAGTGCCGGGAACGGCATATCATACACTTCCCAGCCAGGGTAGCTCAGGGATTGTCAGGGTTAGTTGCGGTTAGTTCACACCCGGATTTGGGGTGATGATTGATGGTGATGTTACTGTACTTGGGTGAGTGGAGGTTGCGCAGATAACAATTGTCTGTAAGTGGCAAGAGAAACACAACTCTCGGTTGGTTGGAACCTTGAATGTTAAGGAGACATGGCAGATTTTAGAGGGACCCAATGAGAGGAATCGATCGCCATAGATCGCCATGGGTCAACCTCCCAACATGAGCGTCACACAGGGCCAGGGTTGTCCAATTTTTTGGGATCTGTTGAGACACGTACGTACGATGAATGTGCCACACGTACGTATTCCCATAAAAAGGGGGATGGTCATCAATCCATAGGGACTTAAAATTAATCCATCCGTTATGCCAACATTTTTGGGCGGTATTCTCAATGCGGCTAAAAGATGACCATTTTCACCAACGAATAAATCACAGATCATCTACCCTCTTGTAATTTCACAGTTCGCTATTGAAAATGGCCCAGTCGAAATAGTGGATTTACCCATTGTTTGCATGGTGGATCTTTCCATAGTTATGTATGTTATGTAAACGTTTACCAGGCCAGGTAACTCCACCATGACACATCTATCAATGGATTGGTTTTCACGGGAAAATTTACAGGTTTAAGCCCCATGACTTTCATGGGAAAATAACTCTGGTTTCCGGTGTACATTTTCCCTTAAATCAATCCATTGAATCTGGATTTCTAAGGGGATTTCTTAGCGCCGTTGCGAGGTCGTCGCGCGGCAATGCTGTTCCTGGGATCTCTGCAAAGCCCACCTTTGAGGTCGCTGGTGGTGAAAAATGGATCTGGACT